GGAGCTGTATGAGTTTCCACTTCAAATTCACTTTCGGTGTCATGGTCCGACTGAACTTGAGGGTCGTTCAGGGGACGCCTCTCTTCAGGAGTCGGTACAGACTTGGATGCCATCTCTGAAGTACTCTTCCCACAGACGGCGCCAAATGTTTCGGGGTTTTCTGATGTCCTGCGGGAGAGTTACAATTCCGAGACTGGAACCGGACGCCTGTACCTGCAAAATAACGGAGACTCCTGAGAGCTCCGCCTCCAACGATCAAGTTAGTACCTGATTAAGGAGTAATTAATACGGAAATTAAAGCAATAAGACCTCTCTAGGTGAGAGTGTTTAATGTTGGTAATCTGCTTTGTTAGCGAGATTAGCCGGTTATTAGTTTTCCGTAATGTTTCTGTTCTTCTCTGTTCTTCAGGTGAGATTAACTGCTTGATCAGTTGCTCTCTCAATTGCTTGATTGCCTGATGTTTTCTTCACTGCTTAATTAATGAGGATTAATTAAGTATTTATAGTCTTGAGAAGCGTGGCACTCTCTAGGTTTAGGGTAAACCTAGGGCTGACCGGGCCTCTAGACAGGATTGGGCCTTGTTGGCCGGTTTTCCCATTTGGCATGGGTGGACACGTGGCGTGTCTCAACTGGTCCGTAGAGGACGTATCTGTGATTGACACGTGGCAGGCTCCTATTGGCCTTCGTGAAGGACACGTGGCGGAACCTGGTTGGTCCACTTGTCAGACGGTGATTGGTGGATAAAAATCCCCTAATCACTATCCAAATCCATTATCCCATGATCCGTGTCACCGTCTTATATTAAATATCAGCCATTGATTTGCATGTCATCTAACGACCTATCATCGCACACATTCCAATTCACGATCCGTGTGTTTTCTTTTCCACCAATCAGATCACTCTTATCATCGTCTCTTTAGTACTCTTTTTGATTTCTCTCTCGTTTTCTTAATCCTCTTCTGTAATATTATCAATTTTTTGAAGCCATGGCTGCTAATATGCTCACTGCTCTCTCGTTTTCTCTCTCATCTCCTCTTCCTTCTTCCTTTCTTCTTCTTCCTTCTTCTCCCTTCTTCCGTCTATGTTCTCCTTTCTTCCATCTCGTTTCTCCGTCTCCGTCCACCGGCACCACGCACGACGGTTTTTATGGTCAAATTCGACCACGAAACTCTAGATCTAGTTGTTTCTTGATCGAATTTGGCCTTTTAAAACCAAATTTGAGGCCAAATTCAGGATTAATATATAAGGTGTTTTCGTTCTTCCTTTTTTAATTTCTGTTTTTCTTTTTAATTTTTTTTCAAGTTGTGGGCAACGGAGGGGGCCGAGTTAGGGTGGGTGCGGCGGCGATTAGACTGGGTTCGGGTGGGTGGGGAGGGAGGATTTTTCGAGGGAGGGAGGGAGTTTTATGGTGGGTGAGCAATTAGAGTGAGTTGGGGGGTTTCGAGGATGTTGGGTTTCGTGGGGGTGGGTGGGGTGGGGTTACGGTGGGTTTGGGTTTTTTTCGATTTTTTTGTATGGGGTGGGGTGTGTTACGGTGACGGTGGTGGGTATGGTTGGGGTTGGGTCTTTTTTTTTTTTTACAGTGACGGTGGTGGGTGGGGTGGGGTGGGGTTTGTTAAGGGGGTGGGGTGGGGTACGTTACGGCGATGGTGGTAGGTGGGGTGGGGTATGGGTCTGGGTTTTTATTATTTACGGTGACGGTGGTGGATGGGGTGGGGTAAGGTTTGGGTCTGGGTTTTTTTATTTACGGTGGGTGGTGGGGTGGGGGTGGGGTGGGTTACGGTAATTATGGTGGGTGCGGGGGTGGTGTTAGGGTGGGTCTGGGTTGACGTTGGTGGGGTGGGGGTGGGTTACGGTAACGGTGGTGGGGTGGGGGTGGGTTACGGTAACGGTGGTGGGTGGGGGTAGTGTTAGGGTGGGTCTGGGGTGATGGCGGGAGTGGTGTTAGGGTGGGTTACGGTGGTGGGTGGGTGGAGGGTGGTTGGCCAATTTTTTTCATTTTTTTATTTAATTTATAACTCCTAATTTAGTTATACAATAATATAATTTTAATTTTATAATAGCAAAAAAATTTACAAATTTAAATCAATAATTATATGTAAAAAAAATTGTATAGTTAAATTACATTAAACATCAAATATATTTCGTGGAATTCTAACAAATTGTTAAAGGCTGCAAATAGTTCAATTTGAATGGAACGGGTTGTAAACGGTTCGGTTTAAATAGTTTGTAATCGGATCGGTTTAAACGGGTTACGGTTTGAAAATAGTTCGGTTTAAACGGTTTAATGGGTTATAACAGTTCGGTTTAAACGGTTAGCGGGTTGTAAATGGTTCGATTTAAACGGTTTTTTCCTACGGTTTAAACGGTTTCGGTTTATAAACGGTTCGGTTTAAACAGTTAGCGGGTTAACATTAATCGGTTCAAACGGTTTCGGTTTATAAACGGTTTGGTTTGTTATTGGTTTACGGTTCGTAACGGGTTAACATTAATTGGTTCGGTTCGGTTTCGGTTTGACATTATACGGTTCAGTTCGGTTTTCGGTTTAAAATTAGCGGGTTATAAACGGTTCGGTCCGTGATGGTTCGGTTCGGTAACGGACGGTTTCACGGTTCGGTTTGAAAAGTCCCACCCCTATGTATATTGGATGTGTGTGATATCACCAATTTAACTAAAGATTAGTGATTAATCTAAATTATAATTTTTGCATACGTTGATTGAATTTTATGCTAAACTATGGAAGTTTAGATTGAGTATATTTGTTTTGTAACGCGGTAATATACAATGTATGGTACGATTTTGATTGACACGAGAAATGTATGTATGTACATCGTATGTAACAGGCCTACGATCTGGAGGATTTTTAAGAACAAATCAGTGGAGGAATTCAAGTTTCACCCTATTGTGGCTGGTATAATCAACTGTTTCATGTGGGTGTTTTACTCGATGCCGTTCGTGCATCCTCACAGCATTCTTGTTACCACCATTAACAGTGTTGGACTTGTTATGTACATTTGCTACAACTTGGTATACCTGAGATACGCTAACAACCAGAAGAGGGTGAGGAAAATCCCCTCAACTTTTAGTCATATTCTGGCCGAATTGTCAATTCGTGTTCTAATGTTGATAACTGGTTTCTGTTGTAATTCAGAAATCAATGTGCATTTACTATCTCGCGGAGGTTGTGTTTCTGGCTGCCTTGATCTGCATCACTCTCCTAGCTTTCCACACTCATACGTCGAGGTCTACCTTTGTTGGGATCTTTTGTGACGTCTTTGGGATCATACTCTATGGTGCACCTCTCACTATCATGGTATGAATTTTGCATCCATTCTTGTATTTTTCGATGTTAGCTATGTAACATAGTTGTTAATTACGAGTTATACACGTATATCATGAACTGAATTATGAAAAATTTGTTTGTTTGGCACAACAGTACAAGGTCATAAAAACGAAGAGTGTTGAATTCATGCCATTGACTCTTTCATTGGCTGGTTTGTCTAATGGAGTCGTTTGGAGTGCATATGCCTTCATCAGATTTGATCCTTACATTCTGGTAATCATTATACCTCATTTCATCTAGTCATTCTCAATGTGCACGTTATAATGCTTGCAATTGTATCTTAATCCTAAGTTTCTTTCTTGCGCGTAGATTGGCAATGGCGTTGGAGCCATACTTGCCGTAGCACAACTGATTTTGTACGCTTGCTACTATGGCTCTACACCGAAGGAGGGGAAGCCCGTGAAGGACCTGGTCAAACCAACAGCACCACAAGCTCCACAAGTGCAGATGATGACTGTTTCTGCTGTCTAAAGATCATACTCAGTTTAATCTAGCTAGGTCCCTAGCCATTTTAATCTATTCTGTTTGGCTAGCTTGTGTGTTTTTTGCTAGCGTAGGTAGTGGTTTTGGTTAGCTTAAAAATAGTAATAGTACTTTGTGTCATGTTCTCCGTTAGGAATTTCTTGATTACCTTAATTAATTCGAGTGTTCTTTCTTCTTAAGATTGAAGAAGAGTGAGGTTAAGCATTTCATATGATAGGATTGGAATATAAATATGATAAGCAACCTTTTATCCTTTCACCTTTGTTCTTACTTGTTACATATTCAATCTCTCTTTTAATTGCAGCTCTAATGACTTTTAGCCTAAACTGATCATTTAATCGACGTGCCTGTTGAATTAAATAAAGAACCGAAAAAAGTTCCGAAAATCGGGAATATACTCTTTGTTGCTTAGGCGAAGAAGATAAGTTTGGTTTATAAACTATGCAAAACATTTAGTTCTATGCATGTAGAGATATGCTAACGGAAAGTGATAGTCGTGGATAACCTGCTATTTCAATTCTAACAAATCCAGCATATACGTGTAAAAAAAGGATTTCTTTTAGTTGGAAAATTTATACTTCTGCCATTCTAAAACAATTTTCTTTAATTTATGTTCCTCTATTCCAATAATATTGCAACAATAAAACTTTTGCACTACTTATCACTCTTGTTTGACCATATATACGTTAAGTAAAATATTGGGATCTTGTTATATTCCTCTCATAAATTACTTTCACAATATCCTTTTTATAATTTTTACTCTAATACAATTATAGATATTTAACATATAAAATGTGCACTGGATGCGTACTTTCATCCTGAGGAATTGATTTATCGATAAGATGGGTGTGTGAATGATACAATTATTACCGTGCAAAGGATTGAAATGTTACAAAAGATTGAGATAATGTGACAATAATTATTATGCAATTGATTATATAGAAAATCACTTCATGAGATGCTCAGCTTTTTGATTACCTGTATTGTAGAAGTTTGTTCATATTTTCAGTGTGCTATTACAAGCTTATCAATAATGAAATAGAAATTGAATTTCAGTTTCCCTATTTTTTGAGGTTTAAGGAGCACACTGCGCAAATCCAAGGTATCGAGTTATTTATTCATTAATTCAATTTTATAGCTTCAAGATGTTACAGCCAACCTCAACAACTCTTGTTGGAAATAGAAATATGGACCAAATATGCTTAATAATATCGAGTTATAGATTCATTAATTCAATTATACAACTTTCAAGATGTTACAGCCAACCTCCTACAACATGTTGGAAATAGAAATATGGACCAAATATGCTCAATAACAGCCAACCTCCTACAACCTATTTTCTTATGTACTTCGTTTTAATCAGTAAAGTGTATTCATTTACAAGATGTACATAAACAGTCAACAAAACAAAGAAAGAATCCAATCTTATGTTCTTCCCTATCTCAACCCACAGCTAAACCTTCAGTTGGATCAAGCTCGGCAGCAAAATACAATTTAACCAAATTAAATGAGGGTTAGCTGGATCCAAACTCTTTGTTCCACCGTTCAAGCTCCTCCCATCGGCTCTTTGATAAGCTTGGTCTAATCACAGTCATAGCATTTTGAAAGTCTTCATATCTCAAAGGTCTGACCTGTTGTATCAAATAAACAAGCAAATACCTAAGAATCATTGCTTAATAGAACAAATTAATGATTCCCATATAACAATTAAGCAACCTGATTAGCCTTGACTGTGAGTATGTTTGGACCAAGTTCTCTTATTGGCATCATGGCAGCTTCTTCACACAAGGCTTGCAGGTCACTTCCGGAGTATCCTAAAAATAGACAAAACATAAACCAACTTAAAACATAAACATTGACAAACTATACTGGCATGTAATACACCTGAAGCCATAAAACCAGAACACAGATGAGACTCTCAAGTATAACATACCCTCTGTTTCTCTCACAAGCCTTTCTAAATCTTGGCCTGCATGGAAAAAACAGTATATGGGTCAAAATAGTGTTTCAGTTAAGTAATGAATACAGAAGAAAAAAAAAGGTCAGTACTTGAATGGATTCTTAAACAATGTGTTCAAATACATTATAATAGCATTTAAAGAAGTCTGGAAGACATCAAGAAAACATACAAGGTTGGATAATCAAACTAGATTCTTTTAACTAATCTAGACTTGCGCTATTAGAACTTGTACATGGTGGGAATAAACATGAAGCTCCTGGATGTATACAGCTAAAGTTAAAAACCAGTTGTATAAAAACAACAAACAAGTATCATTGTACAATATACTTAACGAATAATTATAAATCAAAATAAAACGCAGAGAGGATAGGACTGAAAAAATGTTTTGTATGGCGTAAAATTATACTTACCAGGCAAGGAAAATGCTTGACCCTTCAATTTTTGATTAAGTATAAGCCGCCTGACATTTTGATCAGGCAATGGAATGTATATTCTCTTGACCTGGCCAAAGATTGCTATAACATGAGCATAGAAGCAACTAAGGATGTGATAGTGGTACATATAAAGAAGTCCCAACACTATAATAATCAGCCAAAAGAGCCCCAAATATATATACATAAGATTCTTATATACTCCGTAACTGAGTACACAGTGAACATATAAAATATGAAGTTGCTAAACAAGGGAGGCTAAGAAAATGGATCGAATAAAGTAATACTTGCATAAATTTAACCAGGTTCATTGACAATCCTAGATCCACCCAATGATCTAAGCAATAAAAATGTCCTCTCCATCAGGAAGTCAGGAACTATCTCAGAAACACAAGGGTTCATATATACACAAGCATTGCTAATCATATGCTATCTATATGCCAGGCCTAACAACCTTATATGAGCACAGAAAACCAAACAGAGGAGAAACAAACATAAATGGAGTTTTGCCTGGGTATAAGCTAATAATTGCAATCAATCCAAGTTCGGACACCAGGATAAACATCACTGAAAGATCTCTCTGTCACAGTGAGGTCAATAATGAATGTAGAGACAACATCACGAATTTTTGACAATTCATCAAAGTGAGAAGACTTATTATATAAATTGAAACAGGTAAAATAGTTTGGGGGGTTGGGGAGTAGGTAAGAAAGAGTACCAATCTCCTCAGAACTGCATCATCGAGTTCTTGCGGTTTATTAGTCGCACCTGAATAGGAAAAGAAAAGAGAGGATGAAACAAAATAAGAAATAAGTCTATGTGAAGATTTTTTTTATAAGGCACACTACTTTGGTTTGCTCTCTCTCCATTTCTGAAAAGCAACTTTTTTTCAACCTACTAAAGTGTAGTGAGCTCACCAATTACTATCACTAGATCATCAGGATTTGAGGTAACACCATCAAATTGAACAAGGAACTCTGACTTCAACCTTCGGCTGGCATCATGTTCATTAGCCTCTCTTGTAGACATCATGCTATCAATCTGCCAAAAGAAACAGGCAGAACATACCCGTAATCAGTAAATGCTTTAGGGTAAGAATTTAAGATAGCGATTGCAACAAAAATAAACTTATATTTACACGTTGAATGGTAAAAATTAGAATATTTTAAGCCGATTTAATGAAACACTCCGTATTAAGAAAGATAGGTGCAAATAGTTACTATACGGATTTGCATCAGATAGAATGGGTAATAACATACGACCTTATGAGGACCTAAATTTAGATGAAAGTTCAGAAAATAAGGGAAAATCCAAGTTTATCTGCCAGATAAACAAAAAAAGGTTTATCAAGTGGCACTTTCGTAAATAATTCAACAACTTTTTATCAAACATGGGGCCCAATGCCATGCTGAATGGGATTTTTTTTGTTGATTTATTTACGAAATTGCCACTTGATACATGTTCTTAGTTTATCAGGCAAATAAACTGGAGCTTCCTCAGAAAGTACCATTGGACATCAGAATCCTTGGAAAAAATTGATAAGGAGAACAATTACTAAGTAGTAGCAAAATATTTTCCTATGAAGTATAATTTTGAATTGATAGGGGGTATTATCGTAATGATGGCCATACAGTTTTCTATTACTATGGGCTGATAAAATGGGCAACATAATCAAAATAGTGAAAAGCATCATATCCAATCATTTAGAAGCGAAGTCTCTGATCTTACCAGCCACTAACCAAAATAAATTAATAGCAGCAGAATTTCAAAATTATATCAATAACATTCATAAAAGAAGAAAAACAATATAATCGGTAGTACAAATGTACAATTGTTATACACAAGGTTTTTCAAAATGTATTTGCTACATAAAAAGGGGGAGTTTCACAGTCTTTTAAAGTGAGAGGTACACAAGGGCATTGCAAATTTGCAATAATATTCCATATAATGAACTCATTCATAGATAAACAAAGGCTTGCATTGTAACCAAAAAGAGAGGATAACTTTCGGTAAAGAAGCAAACAAAGATATCAGACTGCTCCACATTCATGGCAATGACTTATCACTATATATATTACAAAAAAAAAAAAAAAAGAAGAGATTGCCAGGTCACCCAACTTGTTTCAAGATTAAACTCTTTATCATTAATTCATTATGGCACAATAAGACCTTTCAAGATTAAACTTACCATTTCATGACTACCGCTCACACAAAAAATAAAGATATTCCTTAAACTAAACTTGCTTGCCCTGTTTAGAATTTTGGTGATGCAAAACATGGTGAACCACAAATTCCAAAGGCGGCAAACAATTATCTGGGTTGAGAAGGTAACATCTTAATGTTTTCTATTGAATGACTTATGGTATTATTTGGGGGCTCTAACTTGCAAATGATAAAACATGTATATATATCACGTGCACCCAGACACAACATACTACATTACAGAACAGTTGTTCACATAGTTTTTGAAGAATTTGACCATCTAGATAATCAGTTTTGGGATTCAGAACAGAAACATACCTCATCCATAAAAATTACAGAAGGCTGCCTCGAGATAGCAACCATGAAGAGGGTCCGGACAAGCTTTTCACCTTCACCAACCTGTCACGAACATAGCACAGGAATTGATCAAGACATGCAGGTATAGAAAAACAGGAATATACCAACTCACTCCAGGCTAGAACACCCACCCACTTAGATGTTAAGGTAGACGCAGACACATTAAAAAACGTTGCATTACACTCCGAAGCAACTGCTTTAGCAAGCATTGTTTTCCCATTGCCAGGTGGACCAAAAAGAAGCAGACCTAGAAGCAAAAAATACTCAAAATTACCACAAAAGTAATTAGGCAGAATTATCACATCTCATATTAGCAGTCTAGAACACTATACCTCGGGGGGGCCTCCTAAGGCCAGTAAATAAATCTTTTCTTTTGGTGGGCAGGATAACCATTTCAAACAAAGTTTGCTTTGCTTTATCAAGACCAGCTGAGAAAAAGATCAAATAACAAGGTTTTCAATGATAATTGAGCACATAGTACAGATTATAAAACAAGGTCAAATAACAAAACTTCCAACGATGATTAAACGAAGCACAAAGCAGGTTTAATACTCGCAACTAAGAACCCACTCGTCTTACCTACATCTTCCCATTTGACAGAAGGACTTTTATCCACAACTACTGTGTTTATCATCTCAACTAATTTTGCATCATAACCACCAGTGTCTTGGTTTGATTTAGATGCTCCAGATTTATGCGTTCGATCTCTAGCTAGTGAACTGCTTTTTGTAACAATTGATGGCCTCTGTGGAACAGTTTTTATTAAAGTTGATGGTTTTGAGAAGCCCTTAGCAGCTTGCGGATGTGAAGAAGTAATCTGAAAGGTGGATTGAAAACTTTCTCAAAAAATTTAATTTATTAGCATGATATATAAAAACAACAGACCTAATTGGAAATGGACAAGAAAATATACACCAACATGATATACACTCTTTGTTGACATTTCACATATATTAACAAGTACACATGATGAATGGAGGGAATTAACCAATAATATTTTAGTAGAGTGCAGAGAAAATTGATTGATTAATAAACATTTATTAGCCAAAGAAGACAACAAGCAGGGACAAAATAAAATAGAAAGGTGGACTATATCTTCACAACTTGCCTTACTCTGGAAAATAAACATATGTTCTAAAATTGGACTCTAAATGTCTTGCTTACGAGTGTCCCTGCCACGATCAAACTGATTTATGAGGTTGTAGTATCCAAATTCTAGATTTTGCATTAGTCACAATTTTCACATTCAGGTTGTTCCTTTGTGTGCAGATACCAGATAAATTATTAAGCAAAATGCAACGTCACATCATTTTAGACGCTTTGAAGGCTGTAGAAACCACCAATCACTTCTCCAGAAGCAAAGTAACTTAGTCACACACCAAACAGCAGATACAAGGTAATAGAGGAGTAAGGGAAGCAAATCGGTTGATCAAACGAAGCATAGACCCATACGATGCAAAAGTTTCAAGACAACGAATACCTAATGAAATAATCAACTTGCACATTACATAAACCCATTACATAGACAAAGACATACCTTGCCGGTGGTTTTGCTACCTGAAAAGCAAAAGAAGGAAAAAAGATAAGAACTAAAATCATTACTTTACAATGATCAAACATATCATGAAAATTCTACGAAAGTGAATTGAACAGAGCATACACATATTCCGAACCTATTCTTGCACTCAAGATTTGTAATCTTTCAGAAACGTGTCCCTGCCACTTTGATATCTTCTGATGGTAGGAATTAACTTTCTGTTGTTCACTACAGCAAATTGAAGAATTAGTCAAATTTAGTTTCCTCAGGCAAATCACATAACACAACAACCCCTCAAACAGTTCAAAAGTACAAGATTTTTTATGGATACTTAATAATCGTTACACTAAGCATATAATCTTTTGAATGTGGACATTAAGCATGAAGGAGTTACAGTAAGATCGTATATAGTCAAATCCTTCTCTGTTTTAAAAAGTTATACCAATTTTTCATAACAAAAACTTTAAAAAGATGCCAAAAACAAAAGAATTCTAACCGTAATTACAGAGTACAGCCTCATAAAACTACAAAATTTAATCAACTTTATGCAGTGATATTTCCAATTCTGTAGCTAAATTGGTTTTCATCGTTTGATAGATATCACTGTAGCAGTCAGCTCAATGATCATGATTACTAGCAAAATATACAAGCACATGAGGGAAATCTAAACACTGAGAAGAAGAATAAAGTACAGGCACACTCTCTCTGTCCAAACATATTTTTTGACATGCTCGATATCTCTCGTAAAATTCAATGTGATCATAAATTGCAATTTAAGTAGGGGATCATAAAATTCAGTCACATACTCATTCATATTCAAATATAAACTTGTTCCGCACATTCCAAAATAGTATATTGCCAGCAAAACCAGTAAATAACAGCATGATCAAACAAAAAAAAAAACTGCATACAGCCGAGTAAAGATCATCAATTTCCCTTTTACCTCGGCGAAATAAACGACGGAGGCCGTGTGGAAGCACCTTCAGCAAGTATACGCTGAGCATTTCTATAGTGCAAAATTGCATCATCAACTAAACCCCATTCTTCAGCTCTAACAGCCTTATCAATCTCTCCCGTCGCCAAATCAAAGTAGCCTTTCAATTTACCAGCAGTTCTCTCATTCGAAACCTTACTCCCATCTACACCTACTTCCATGGTTCCCCCCGTTCGATTAATTGAAGAATTAGGGTTTCCGTTACAGTTTGAATCATACAAAGGATCAGAATTTGAGAATACCGAATTCAATGAATCGATTAACCCTTTCCAGAAGCTCATATCTGCTACAGCAAGTTCAATGCAAAATTAGGGTTTTTTGAATCAAAATTGTGGATTGTAAATGCGAAATTTGTGGGAAAAAAAAAAACTAAATCAAAGGGAAAAATAAAAATTATGCGATTAAGAGAGATTGAAAGAGGAAATAAGTGCTTACCAACTGGAGATGGAGATTGTTGCAGAAGTTCATCGTAAGGAAGAAGAAGAGTAGTAAAGAGAGAAGATAAAAATGGCGGATTTGATAATCGGAATTTTTTAAGCAGAAGAAAGGTCAATTAAATTAAACAGTGATTATTGCAGAAAATGAAGCAAAAGGAAAGATACGCGATCCTAGAATATTTCTTCGTACTCCGTATGATGGTTGGAGTTAGGGGTGTACACCGGTCCAAAATCGGACCGGACCTGGACTGGACCTGTTTGGACCGGAGACCTAAATTGGGTAATTATGAGGACCGGGGACCGGACCTGAATTAACAGGTCCGGTTCCGGGCTAGACCTGAAAAATCAGGTCCGGTCCAGGTTTGGACCTGAATGGACCTGTTTTGTGATTTTTTCGTTTTTTTTTATTTTTTTTAATAAAAAACTTGTTGGACCTGCATATGGACCTGCGTATGGACCTGTTTTGTGATTTTTAGACCTGTTGCATAATTAAATAATTACATACAAACCAAAATTATTAATCACAAAAGTACAAAACTACATAAAGTCTATAAAAGTATAAAGTCCCAATTCTCAAACACCAAAAATACCAAAAAAAAAACATAAATTCGATATGAAGTACTTTTGGCTATCTGAAACACAGGAAACACTCTCTTATTATCCTTCATGCTGCGCCTATAACACTCTGCCATCTTGGAAGCCCTTTTCTTTTCTCCAGGTTTAAGATCCCGCCTATTCGATATGAAGTACTTTTGTTTCCACTCCATTGTCACGAACAAACTGTTTCCATCCATCTGTAAACACCAATGGCCTTTCATCATATGTACTCGAGAGTCTGATTTTCCATTTGTGTTTACTTGGCGCTATAAGTGTACACCACGGGGAGAGTTTCTCCTTGAAACACTCCATGAACTTCTGAGGAATATTCTGCAAGAAATGTTCACCAAAAAATTCAATCAAGTGAGCTAATATATATTAATAATATAAGTGCAGTTGCTTTCATAACACTCCATGAAGCATACCTGAATACAAATGCCTAGTTAAGCATCATCTTTGAGAATGAATGAATGGTTAATTGTTGTGTTTTAAAGCAGTTTTTAGGAGATCCAAAGACCTTTTTTTTTTTAAATGCAAGATCATTAAAAAGCTGATCTTGTTAACATAAATTCCGGAAATTTTCATGACATCGTTAAGAGAAGTAAATAAACCAATTGGAAATATAAGCAAATAACTAAGAGTATAGAAAATCATCTTGAATAGACACGGATAGAGCACAAAACAAAGTAGGGAGGGTGTCTCTTTTTAAGGATGCTCAGTATTCATTTCAAGACGGTACAAGTTTCATTTGAGTAGGCAAAATTTAAGACAAAACCAACAACCTTAACCTAGGACCTGGGTTTTTCCTTCTTTTCCTTGAACAGAGCTAGAAGAGAGACACCAGCAACCTTGACAACCTTAAATCGGACTCCAGGAATATCTCCCACAGCATGTCCTTTACGACCAAATCCAGCAATCAACACCTCATCCTGCACAAACCACATTTTCTTAGTATGGAAGGAAAAACAGAGCTAGATAATATCAATTTCAAAGTCAAATACAATATAATCAGGTAACAAATATTAGACAAAATTCCACAAACTTCTGCATGATCCACATTTTCAGCATGAATCTACACCCAAACACAACATTAAACTACATACATATAACAAAAGACCTTGACTTCTTTTACCAATCAGGTAACTTCTTTAGTAAAAGGGAACAGTTTATCGTTCTTTGATAAGAAGTATGAATTAGCATTATCTTAGAACAGCTTTTTCCAGATGATTTGCTCATGAAAGGATAAAAAACCAACAGTGTATGACTGATCTTAATTGCTCAAGCTATATACTCTCCACCGCAATACTGTTATGATAGTCTTAAACCACAAAAATAAAGCTGCACATGTACTGAACAGGAGTGGGTGCAGGAGTACTGACAGAAGAATCAGATAAACCAGCACAGAAAGAGTGCGCACTATCATGTTTTATATGTTTCTGGATAAACTGTTATCAAGAGTTTATGATATGAGTATAAGAAAAGCATTGTTACTAATGTTAAACCTTCAGTAATCAGATGCCAGTATTTCTCCAAAAAATCCACAACAGAATTGACATTATTTCTACAATGGTTAACAAATAACTGGAGTTGTTTAGACTTTAAGAGTTTCTACAAAGGTTAACAAATAATTGGAGTTGTTTAAACTTTAACAAACAACATTATTTCTAACACGGTTAACAAATGACAGTTAACAAACTGCTAGTGTATCACTAAGTTTGTGTCGAAAGGCACAAAATACCAGCAAATTCACAACCAAGCAATTTATGAAACAGTAAGTGCATATATGCTTGCAGACATTAATAGAACGGACTTACATTTTCCTCAATGAAGTTCAAACAACCATCATTGGGCACGAAAGCAGCAATCTTTTTTCCATTCTTAATCAACTGCACACGAGCACACTTTCTGATAGCAGAGTTGGGCATTTTTCTGCAATGATAAGTTTATGCAACAACGCTTATATAATGACTAATAACATAGAATTTATGCATCCGAATGCATAAAATCAACTATTCAATTTGAAGCCATGCCAAAGGTCAATGCAAAGTACTAGATAAACACTAGACTACTAGATGTTTACAATCTAATCACTACTTTCTCTGCTCTTCTGATTTTATTAAACCCTAAAACCCTAAACTTTAAACTAAAAAAAACCAAAAAAAAAAACATAAATTCGAAGATAAACCATACTTGTTATCAATTCTAAACATTAAACCCTAAAACCCTAAACTTTAAACTAAAAAAAACCAAAAAAAAAAAACATAAATTCGAAAGAAATTCGAAAATAAACCAAAAAAGAAAAAACATAAATTCGAAAACATTGAAGTAAAAAAAAGAAATTCAACATGCAAACATCAAATAATCATTATAAGCAATTGAAACATGAATAAACATATAAATTCTAATACTTAATTCATTATTTCGAATACAAAATACCCAAACATAATTAGATAATTTAGATTTACATTAAAAAAAAAAATAACTTACCGGAGAAATGGAAAATCGCGCAGTAGCTGTCTCATGCGGTGGTCGGTGGGCGCCTGGGCTTCGCCTGAGAGAGTGAGGAAGGCAGGAGGTGTCGGCGGTGGGCGTTGCCGCGTTGGGCTGAGACTGGAGACAGTGAGCGTGAGTGCGTGACTGCGTGAGGGAGAGGGGGAGACAGCCTGTTTGTTAGGGTTAGAATGAAATGAAAGAGAATTCAAGCGTCACTCAAGCAGCAGCGTTATTTTGATTTTTGATTTTTTTTTTTTTTTTTTTTTTTTTTTTTTAAAAATACAATTTTTCCGGGTTTCAGGTCCGGACCTGAAAACCCCGGGTTTAGACCGGGTCCGGACCGGAACCGGGAACCTTGATTTTTAAGGACCGGGACCGGACCTGAATCAACAGGTCCGGGTCAGGTCCGGTCCGGATCAGGTCGGTTCAGGTCCGGTTTCAGGTCCGGTCCAGTTTTTGTACACCCCTAGTTGGAGTATTTCCTTATTTTTTCATTCGAAAGCATAATACGCATTATACTATTTATCAATCTTCTATTTATAACTAATATTAAGGTCTTATTTAGTTGACAACATAAAATGAATAGGGGAAGTAATAAATTGAGAAGTTTTTTGGTTGACACAAAAAAACAAAAATGAGGGGAGTGGAAATTCATGCAAATTCCCACAAGACAAGGGAAGTAAATTATCTAGCCCCCCTAGGTCAATCAAAATTCATAAGACTTCTAAATTCCCACATTGTCAACCAAACAAATTTAAGAAATTCCTAGGAATATAACATTAGGAAAATAATTTTCCATGAAATGCAATTTCCTATGGGAATTTAATTCCCATATCAACCAAACAAGTCCTAAAATAACAACCATTGACTTCATTCATTTATCCAAATTGTACACATGTCAGCTTCTCTTTCAATTTTTTCCCACCTAAACTTTTTTCTCTTTCCATTTTTTTATGGAAAAAACTAGATATTGACTATAAAATTCTTTAATACAGAATAATATACATTAAACTCTTCACAATTTATCTATCTATAACTATACTAAAACAGAGGGCACTCAAGCTACACCTTGACACGTGTTACTCTATGCTTATTAACTTTCCTGCTCATTTTTCCACCTCTAAATATATCAAGTAAAATTGTGATATCGCAATATACTATAAATATGCATATTCATATAACTAAAAAAAATATTCTTGCGAGGCAAAAAATATAGTATAATATATTCATTATATTTACAAAATAACTTTACAAAATAATCTAATATAATATATTCATATAATTACAAAATAATCTAATATAATTTTATTCATATAACTAAAAAATATATATGTTCCTACAAGGCAAAATAAACTAAGGTTTTCTCGGGGTTTTTTTGTTCCCTCTAAGGTTTTTCCTTTGGAAGGGTTTTCCTAGCCTATATTGCTAGGTTTTTTCAAAAAAAAAATCAAAGATTTTCCTTCTCTCTTCTCCTTTTTCTCTCCATCTCTACCTTCTCTTTTCCTCTTGGTCTCACTTGTGAATCTTTGTAGGGGCTTTCACTGGTGTTCTTACCGGTGGTAAGCCCCCAAAACCTTTTAATTGCGTTCAATAAATAGATCTCATCCTTGAGATGATGATTTTTCTCTTGAGTTTATTTTCTTTTTATGTTTGTATGGCGAGAATTGAAGATTTAGGGTTTCATAATCTCTATAAGAATCCGGAGGACCACATGAGTATTTTCACTCAAATGACTACGAATCAGTGGATTTCAAGCCGAATCAGTGCGAACTCATAGATTGTATTGTTTCAGATGAAGTTTTTTATTAAGGCGATTGTTAATCAAATCTACAGTGTATTTAGTTTTAAGGTGTGTACTTGTATTGGAATTCTTGATTTCTTAGGAATTATATGTAAATGCCGTTTGACTATATTTTATTAATGAAATCCCTTTTCTTCTTGTCAAAAAAAAAAGACAAAATAAATTATGGTATTCATATATTCATATGACAAAAAAATGTAAAAATAACGTTATTAGATTATTTTATAAAGTATATACTTACAAAATCAATTCCTCTCTATTATAACTAATTAGATCAATTATTAAAATACTTTAAAAGTTAACTTAGTTAT